AACCCCACTCCCACCGCAGGGCTGGGGTCCCTGTTGGCCCTCAGGGTGCTGTTAATTAGAGCTTAATTAGAGCTGGGGTCTGGGGGGCAAAACTGCAGGTTAAGGGGTGTGTGTGTGGGGGGGGTACGCTGCAGGTAGTTTTCTGGCTCTTCCCCCCTCTCCCAAGGAAGCTCAGGCTGGGCCTTCGACTCCCTGGCTTTACGCTGTGAAATGCCTGCTTTTCATTCACATCCTTCATCCCCTGATTTCAAAGCCTTTTGTCCAACTAGCAAATTATTTACAAAATCTATACAGGAGTTAGCAGATCAGCCCCTTCCAAGCGAACGAGGATTGCCCACTATTTCCCTCACCGAAATACTCTCTGTTTGCTAAGCAAGACAGAAATACCCCATTTTTATGCATTATTAAAAGGCTGTTGCTACCGACAGCCAGCAACAACGCGTAAAATACCTGGTTTATGCATTATTTAGGTTATTGCTGCCTGGAGCCATCTGGTTTTATGCCGCATTTGCCTGCAGAGGTCAGCATTGCAAAGCCTTTTTGCAAAAGGCATTTGGGGTGCTGAAGCCCAAAGGAGGATTTCTGCAGGAGCCCCCGTGCCCAGGGATGTCCTCGGCCCATCTGGATAGTATGCGGTGGTGTCATCTGCAAAAATCAGCTTTTGAAAATGGAGTATTTTGTGGTCAGAGGAAGGTCGGTGGTGGGGAGAAGTGATGTTGGTACCGGGGATTCAATCAGAAAATACGTCCGCGACTCTTCTGCTCCCAGCTGGGTGTATATTTTGAAGGCTTACAATCATGAAATTCTGAGATAATTAAAAGGGAAAGGTTTGCCTCATTTTTATAAGCCCCTCTCAACACTAGAACTACATTTTAAATAAAGTAATACCCACTACGTGGTGCAGAAGAGCAAAGGGATTATCTACTTTAAATGGTAAGTAACAAATGCAATAGTATTTGTTTAGCTGATCCACTGATTAAAAAAAATGATACAGGTCTGCAAACAAATGAGCTGAATTCAGCTGGCTCTTCTTCCTAAACTTATTTCTTGTAGCTGGGTCACAATAAATAACAGATAAGCAATGAATAACAGGAATTCACACCAAAATGGATGCGTATTATAAATATGTGTGGTCGCCACTGCCATATCACTGTTCCCTGCCTGGGAGGTAGTTGGATTAAAAAATGTGAGCGGTTGCATCTCTGAGTTAATAGTCAATCACCAACGAATAATCCAGAAAATTGTCCTAAACCAACTGGAGGGAACTTTATTTTTTAGGGAAAAAAAAAAGAGAGGACAAGCTGGATAATGATTCCCCACCCAAAGCAAGGTCGCGGTCTATGATTAACTTCCAATCCCTCCCCAAAGGGACACCCTCGCATAGGCCAGCAAACCTTTCCTCTGCTTGATTACTTGTATTGCTAAATTAAAGACTGAAATCAGCTCATTTCCAGCTCCCAGAGGTGGTATTTTTCTGCAAAAAATGGGTATCTCCTGTTAGAGGTTTTTTTTCCTATCTCGGCTTACCTGGGATCCATGTTCTGTGCACTTATAAAGACTTAACTAAACTGGTGTTGATTAAATTACTTCCTTTCTCATATCCTCCTCTCTTGAAATCCAGCTCCTTCGACACCTCACCTGGCACACCTTCCTCGTGCTCTACCCGCTGACCCCGAGAAGCTTAATATATGTCAGATCAATAATTCAAAGGCCTGGAGGGCAGCGGCATTGTTGGCTCTCCCTCGCTGGGTTGGGTCTGCGGCGGGGAGCTGGGAGCTCTGCTCAGCCCAGGTGCGGTTTCCCACCAACACCTATTTTGAGGCATAAATCTCTCTTCTCTATTCCTGGAACTAAGGAGAAATACAGGAAAAGCGCTTGCAGCCAATTCTGCCAGAATCAGCCTATTTCTGGAATTAAAATAATATCCAGGTTTACTATTGTTATTTCATTTCCCTTTTTTTTTTCTCCCCATTTTTCAAGAAATGCCAACCTCCTTTTTCCTGCAGAAAAAGGATCGGTGACCTCTTCCATCTGTTTTTCTCATCATCCCCTGAAAACAGCCCAGTCCCCAAAATGTTCATTTGAAAGCTATTTGTGCAGGAGAGCCCCAGCGATTAGCGAGGGAGCAATAAGACTCCAATTCTCAGCTTTATTTCATTTAAGCTCAGCCAAAGAGTTGACATAATTATACCAAACTCCTTTTTTTTGAGCAACCTAATGAATCCTTAGCAGAATAACCCAAGCTCCCGAACAGCCTAAGCTTTGTGGGAAATCAAGAAGTCCCAGAGGCTTCGCTCCAGCTTCCTTTATTTTTAACATGACAAGCTCCTTGGATCATTGACACCACAAAAATATTTTGGACGGCACAGATGTTTCAGGCCAGAATATGGACAAGAAAACACCCTGGGAAAAATAAACTGTGTTGTATTATTAGTGTTAGTTATTATTTGCTATTTAACGGCTGTGGATGGGGCTTTGCTTGCAGGAAGCCTCCTTGCGTCGAGCCTGGTGTGAACAATTTGCCCAGTGTCCCCTCGGTTCAGGATAAACAGCCGGTCCTGATCTGCCGCTGTAAATGCAAAACTAATTTCCTCCGGTTTCTGTACTTTGATCATTATTCCCTCCCTAGAGCCTCGCTGGGCTTGCTGAGAAATGCGCTGAAAAACAAGCCGGGGGCCAAGGTTGACGGAGCTGCTGGGAGAAGGGCATGTTAGAGTTGTGTTGTTCAACCAGACGCAGCTTTAGGAATAATTAGAGAGAGAGAGAAGGGGAAAAAAAAAATCTCTGGCCATCACTGGAGCAAAACACTGTTGCCCAAGCTGGGGTTTGTCCTCCAGTGCTGCTCCCGCATGTGGATTCAGGGTAAGGTTTATGTTCCTCATCTTATAAACCATTTTCCTCCGTCCTCTCGAAGCATCGCTAGATAAAATGCTTTGCAGCCTGTGCTTGATGCCTCTGGTGTTTCGCTCTTGGTGGCACGGAGATCGCGGCAACCCCAAGCCCTGAAAAGCCCGTGGGCTTCTTCCCGTGTAATTCAAGTCCTCTGCACAGATTTAACATGACTTTTATTGTCCCGGCTTTCTCCACGCAGGCTGCAAGCCGCGGCGTTCGCACTGCGTTGGGAGTTGCTTTGGAAAAGTTAAGGAGATCAAATTAAGGAGAAATCCTTTAGGGGAGTTGTTGGCTCTGGCAACTCCGCTCAGCCCCTAAAGCTAGCACATCTCAGCTCCAGACTGTATAAACTAGATGTTCCTGTTCTGCATAATCTTTGCTGTTTACAAAAAAAAATGCTAGGTGGGGGAAAAAAAACTCATTTCAAAACGCTTCCTTCTCCACACCCTGGTCAAAGCTCAGCTTCCTACACAGCTTTATTTCTTAGGCTGGCCATTCCCGTGGCATAATCTTGGGTCAGAAGCAGGAACATCATCCGGGTTTTTCGATCGCATTGGCTAAGGGTGAGTAAAAAAACCCGAGCCTCATCTGAGTACATCATGCGCTTGTACCCCAGTGCACCCACCGTAGAAATACCTTAGGGGAGACGCTACAAATCTCAGTTTTTCATAAATAAAAACATTTGCAATCTCAGCTGCCTTTAAGCTGCGGCTGAAAACCAGCCGTCATCCCTGGAGGTAAACCTCTTGGATGATCCCAAGCATTACTTATTTACACCAGCCGAGAGAGAGCGTGCAGCATTTAAGCTAACAACGCCATTCCTACATCGCTTGCACCCCCTCCGCTCGGCGCCGAGGTCGCCATGGAGATGACTACGGAGAGCATCGTGCCCATGACAACTCTGCATGAGCATCTTGAGCATCTTCGGAGCAGCCTTGTCTCTCCCCGGGCTTCTCCTCGCTCCAGACGGCGATTATTGGCTTGTTCTTGCTCCCATGCAGGCGATGGTAAAGCTTTCCCCCATCAGCAGCTCCCCTTCCAAGATAAAAGGGCAGAGAATTAAACATATCGTGCAGATTTGGCATATAATGCCTGAATATTTGGTATATAACGTCTCTTTGGTATATAATGTCAGCCTGGTCCTCAGCATAAGCTTCATAAAGAGCCTTTAATTTGTTGCTTTAGGGGAAAGAAAAGCTTTGGACTAAGTCACCTGCGGTCTTGGGTCGACAACCCAGCTGGAAGGTGCTCCAAAATGGATGGAAAGGTGCACATCATGTGGGAAACTGTTTCAATAGATTAAAAACCCTAATGGCTAAAAATCTGGCCTGATTTCCCCCATGGGCACACATTTCCCAAGCCCAGTTCGTCTTTGCATTTACACCCGGAGAAAAAGGGGATGAAACCCCATAAAGCCAGCCCCGGCCCTGGGAACCCTTTCTATGGAGGGAGAGGGGAAAATCAGGGTGGAAACCTACTCACCGGCTCAGCTAAGAGGATTTGCACGACGGTTTTGTGAGCGAGTTGGGTTTAATCATCTCATCCTCGCTGAGCATGTGAGTTAGAAACCAGGTCATGGGATGTGAAAGCTCAATTCGTTCTCATGTGAAGAAACAAGGCGAGGACCTGGACCAAAATTACGTATATAAAAGAAAAACATATAGCTAAGAGAAAAATGTAACAATTCTTTTAAATATTTCTTAATCTCCAACCTGGTCCTTGTTTCAGTCTATTGCTTGACTTCCCCCCCCCCAGTTAAAAATCAAACAATTGTCTGTATTTCCTGGGGTTCAGCTTTCCCCATCTCACCCCACAGCCCCTTTTCCCACTGGGAAAACTGATTTCTCCCGGCCTTTTCCCAACGCAACCCAGCCAGGAATCCACAGGGAGCCCCAAGGACCGCGGCGTGATCCCTCCACCCAGCACACCTCCGAAAGCAGATGCTCCTGCTCGCAACTCTGCTTGGGGATACGTCAGCCGGGATTTTGGCACGCTCCTACAAGCTCTCGGCACGTAGCTGACGCATTCAGGGATAGGAGCAATTCCCCAAAGCGGGCTCCGAGGCTGGCACGGGTGATTGATGTAAAAACAATGAAAATGGGAGCGCCTTCGCCCATCCCGGGTGTGCCCCGGTTTATTTTTAAGAAGGTGACCTCAGCGCAGCCATGTTATGTCATGCAACGTGCTTACGCCGCTGCTCTGATCTCGGAAAGTCTTCCGAGGGGATTGCAAGTTAAAAATAAATGGGAGAGAGGCAAAGGAAAGCCTCCCGGTGAGTCATATGTTACAAGCCCTCCTGTGAGGAAAAAAAAAATACAGATATTCAGCTTTTCCTGAGAAGGAGCCAGCTGGGGGGTATTGCACCGCTTGGGGAAGTTTATGGGAAGCTGGGAAAGTATTTGTTCCTGCAGCTTTATGGAGGGACATCGTGTTTTAAAAGAGCCCAAACACCGGGCTGTCCGCGTCTGTCCGAAAAACAGGAGATTTATTGATACGAAAGAACATAACGGGCCCTTTCTGCGAAGGGTTACGGCTCTTCCCCTCGTTCATTCTCCCGGACACAGCAGGGAATTGTTCAGCCCGGAGGCACAAACCCGGCGTGTCCCGCAGTGGCTGCTCCCAAGGCACAGGGACAAGTTATTTTTAGACCAAATGCTGGGCTGAAACCGAATCGGACAGCAAACATCTTCCTCGAACAAGCGTGACTTATTTCTCCCATTTCCCATAAATTAATCCAGCTGGCAGCAGGAGGGCCCAACTACCCAAACTTGACCTTTTTCCCCCCCCACTTCAAAGCACTTTTATTATCAGTGCTTATTCCAAAATGAAAAAGTCTTTCCAAAAAAGGCGCTTTTTTTCTTTTTTTTTTTTAATAAAAGCTGTTATTTTACCTTCTAGCGCACCTGGGTGATGCCGCCAACCCTGGGAGGGGTCGAAGGCACATTTTTGGGCGCTGTGCTCCATGCAGGTTATATTCTAAAGACGTAGTGCCTCATTGGGAAGGCATCAGCCTGCGGCCAGGGAGGCTCCCATCTGTAAGGAGCTTACGTGTGTCCCTGCCTGGAATAGCAGCTAGCACACGGGCAGAGGTTATTACGCTCCCAATCAGATTGTAGCAGCTGGATGAACATTTATAGCCTTTTTAAGACAGTTGTCTAATAGTAAAGAGAAGGAGGGTGTGTGCAGCCGCCGATATTTTGTATTTCAGTTGCCGCTCCCTGCAGAAGAGAAATTCGCACTAAATTAATTTGGCTAATCTGCTTCCTCAAGGATCGAGCTTTGTCTTTGAAACACAACAAGAATAAGACTTGCCTTATTTGCTGCTTTCTGCCCCCCAAAACCACCTTTCAATAGCCCCTCCCTGGAGCCTCCCACCAGCAGGCAGATGCCTGCAGGATCCTGTTGCCCGTGAGTCACATCTGCCCCGTAGATCGCGTTGCAAAAAGACATCACCGGTGAGGAAGACAGATCAACACGGGGGGGGGACGGATGTCAAACTCCTCCCCAGCATCATGGCTGCAATGAGTCTCATTTACTAGAGCAGTCATAAACCGATTTATTTTTTCCATGCTGGCTTTGCACTCCTTGGCTTTGCAACAGAGCCGTATCTGTCCAAAAAACCCCCCAACCCCCTCCTGGAAGCAGCGCGAGATGTTGCATGGAAAGTTTGGGTTGCTTGCTATGCCCCCTCGATGGGTCCTCTCCTGGCGCATTGTCCGTGCCCTTACGTGCCTCCGGGATTACGGACTTGCTTGGACTTCTCCTCCCCACCATCACGGGTTGCGTAACCGCGTGCTGATGACACTCGGAAGTGCGTGTGTTTAATGCCCTCCTCCTGCCAGTTTTGCTTCCCGGCCTGTTTTCATCCACGGCAAAAGGCTAAAAATTTGTATAGTCCTTTTACTTTTTTTTTTTTTTTTTTTTTTTACAGGAAAACTTACGGTTGTCAAAAGCAAAGGAGAAACGCCATCCGTGAGCTGCGCTTTCCTCTTGTGCGGTTTAATACAGAATAATGGTGCAGGTAAAGATTTCTATGCAGCGCATGGAAAACCCCTTCTTCTACTAAAAATGGGCCAAAAATGACATTTCTTTTCTCTCGGAGGGGAGCTGCCCTTCCTGGGGTCTGCAGGGCTGCGAGCCTCGGCGTAGCTTTACCCCATGCACGCAATGAAGCCCTCGCCACCGAAGAAAATGCAAAGTACCCTAATAAGGCTTAATTTTTTTTAAATTATACACTGACATGGGAAAATAACAGCCTGATCGAGCGGCAAAAATCTTTCCTTTTTGCTGGGAAGCAAGCGCTCCCAGCGCGTCCCTTCCCTGCGCTCCCGTTTATTCCCCAAATTGCATTTTCTCTGCTCTCATCCAGGCAGGAGCCGAATATTACAGAGATATCTGGTTCCCGAGAAAAATCCAAAGTAGAGCATTTTAACTTAAAAGAGACTATTCTGTGGTGAGACCAGAAAATAAAGCAAGTTCTGCAAAATGCATTTCATTACCCCTCCGAACACAGCACTTATTTCCACTTATTTTTGCCTTTGGAGGGTTTAAAGAGGTTTCCCGATGAGCTAAGCGTGATATGAGATGGGGTGAGCTTGAGCCCAGATTTTTTGCCATCTCCAGGGAGTGAGGGCGGGATGGGGACAGGCTGTGGGACTCCATCCCTACCTCCAAACCCCACCAAATTACCCCCAAACCCCCGTAAATCTTCCACCAACTATTTTAATGCCTTCCCCTGCCTTTGCAAGCTGCGGCTAATTCTCCAAGCAAGTCCAGAGTTATATGAATAAAAGTGTTTTGAATGAATTAAAGCCAAA